TCGCCTTGGACAGCCTGTTTTTCAGATCTTTCATTCCTCCTCCCTCCTTACAAATGGTAGCCAGTACATGTATATAACTTTCAGTTGTTTTGCTTGTTTTCTTTTAAGTTAAACAATACAGCTCAAAACTTGTTAGATGCTGATAGCTCCTTGCAAAATCGTTTGAGCATCATAAACAGTGCACTGAGCTCACAGGTAAGATCACAAGAATATAGTTAATTAATGGAATAATTGGTTTATACACGTAGTAGGCACGTAATGCAAGCAAGTAGCTTAATGTATGTATCTATTTGGATGCATTGCAGGCCTATGACAAAAATGTAGTTTCGTTAAACTATTTCATCTCCAAATACTCTCTCACTTGCCTGATGAGCATTTTGCCCAGCCAAACCAAAAACAGTACATTTAGGTCTGCATTTAACTCTCTGGGCAAACAGGATTTGAAGGGTGCCAGTTTCTCAAGGCAAGAGGAAAGGTAGTTACCCTTACATCAATAAAACTGCAGTTTTAGTTATTCTCTAGTACAGTAGGAAATGTATGAGGCTCATTTCCCTTTATTCTTCTCCTGTAGATCCAAAGTATCAGCAAGTTGCAAGGTGCCACAGGCCTCCCAGGTTTCAATGGCTCAAAAGGCGACCAAGGACCTCAGGGACCGCAGGGACCCATTGGTCCTAATGGAATGCAAGGTGATGCAGGAGGCCAAGGTGACAAGGGCGAACCAGGGAAGAATGGCACTGATGGCATCAATGGACAGAAGGGAGATTTGGGCCCCCAGGGAGATAAGGGAAATCCTGGCAGTGCAGGGTCACAGGGACCCCAGGGGCCCGTTGGACCTCCAGGACCTCAGGGAGCTGGGAACTTTAGTCAGTGTGTATATGTCAAGAAGGTTCAAACTCATTCAGTCGCTGGCTTTGTATCAACAGACGTTTTTGTTGCTGAACAAGATGTAAGTAAGCTAAGGGGACACTTTGATCAAGTCTAAATTCACATGTGTGCGCATCAACATGAGTTTACCATCAATTAGCAACCCAGCAGACGTTCTCACAAATTCGTCTTATTGTGTGGTTTGGGTCAGCCATGACAATACCGACAAAAACATTCAGGTACATTGCATCTGCAAACTGGTTTAAGAGTCCATTCGACATTGCAAGTGTATGTAAGTTTGTCTTTTTTTTCTTGGTACCAAAAGGCTCATGTGTATACCAAGAAAATACAAGTTTTAAGTGGAATACTCCATGAGAAAGTGTCGCATAACTATTTTATACCATGCCATAGAAAATAAAGTGGCCAACGCAGTCAGTGTAGTTCACGACAGAAACGTTGGGACTGTAATACCTTCCCCCACCTCGTGGGAGGAAGATTGTGTGACGACCCTAAAGAGCGTTTACGTAAGAGGTTAGTTTACAGGCAACATTTAAAGGTTTGACTAATTCAAGCTTTGTTGTGTGCAACTTCCAGGGAAAGAAAATACTTGGTGCCACGTGTTCCACTAACCGTGCAGCGGAGTACAACTTGGAGACAGGGCAAATTCCGCCCGAGGACCCAGATGCAGGGAAAGATTTCTACCGTTGCACTTGCAAAGGACGTTCTACACTGTTCACGGTTGGTGACCCTCTGGAATGCATTGTTCATTACTGGGAGTGTCCACTGACAACGTAAACTTTCACAGAAATTTCGTCATCTTGACGGAACCGTTCAGATAATTTGAAGTTGAAATTTACAGTGATGCAGTACTGTTGCTTTTAGTGGAGTTGAATCAATGTACAGTATTATAATGGTCCTATGATCTCCGCAGGTATTTAGTCTGTCACCTAATGCCTGTAAGGTACGGTGTAGGCCTCGTCGCCAGCGTTCTGCCTGTCGACAAAGACGCATGGATGACAGATCAGTTGCGTTTTGAATAACGAAGCGCGCGAAGTCTAAAACAAGAATGCAAATTATTGAAACGCCGCGAGAGTCAGACAACATTAGCGTGTTCTGGGAGAAATAGGAGGAAAATCAACGCCAAATTTTCGTTTTAAAAATTGTTTTAGCAACACTTGCTTACGCGCTTGAAAAAGCGTCAAATTATCCACCATTCCGTTTCGTTTGTCTCAGTTTACCTGAGGTATTACGTCACTCGCGCGCTTCGCTATTGTAAATCTTCTCGCGAGGGAAGTTTCTAAATAAAGCTGTATCGCTTAGGAATTAAAGAAAGTCTGCTCAAGGACTGTAGAGAATGGCATGTAAGAAAATGCCTTGTTCTGCAGAGCAGAACTGCTTCTAATATTTAATACACATGTAGGAGCCATTTCACAGGACTCATTACAAATAAGTAATAAGCTTTAAGATTGGAAGTTCATTGTTTGCATTCTGCCCTGATTCATCTGTCTCAATCTTACCCATATTGTTGTCGTTGTCGTTGTCGTTGTCGTTAACTACATGTATACTCATAGTAAACTATTGCAAAATGTCCTTCATTTTGAAGGTGAGGTTGAAAATCTCAAAGAGAATTCTTTGATATATCTTGGCATGGCTCTTTTAAAGAAAAGTATGCTTAAGTCAAGAAAGATTACACGATATACGTTGTTGTTTTTCATGGAGGTGAAAGGCATTACTCGTCGCATAAAACAGCGTTATTTCAATTTCACTAGTGGAAATACTGTTTTTAAGTTGTATGCAGGCATACATCTTTGTACAAACAATTTAAAACAAGTTTTAGGTTTTACCGAATTTTTCTATTTTACGCTGTGTATCAGTGATAGGTACTATTCTTTAGTGGTATTGTTTTCAGTGTTGTTCATAGCATGCTGTGGTGGTATTAACCTTCTTTTAGCGAAACCTCGATAGATATGAGCTTTTCCGCCTTTCGCCGCCTGAGTGCTGAGAATGAAATTGAGAAATGTGGTTCATGGCATTCATAGAAAACTATATGCGTTCACAAAAAAGCTCAAAACTAGTCTCAAATGAGACGATATATTCTACGTTAAACTCAGCAATTTGAAATAATCCGAACACTGATGTAAGCTTGTTTTACAATTGCTATCCAGTTACATGTAAACCAATTCTTATGTATAAAAAAATACATGCATGTTCATTAAGATGTACTGAGACACCTTGCTTTCCATGGGTACGGACTGGCTTTCAACAAAGTCTGCTTGGCGACTATTAATTGTCCACAGAATTTAACGTATGGTAATCTCGTGGAAAAGATTTGTTACAACGAGAAAGTTTCAATGGTGTCTTAGCCACACGATTCAGGAAAGCAAGACTGTTTTAATTGTATCTAAGAAGTACATGCTTTGACCTGGACTATATCAATATTTCTTATCTAAAAAAGTTGTATTTTATCAGGTTTTCTTTCCTTATACATAGTTTTTAACTTTAATTTAGCTGCAGTGACAAAGCCAATGCCAGCTTCATATCTGATTGGAGCTTGCGGATAAAGTCACCGCTATTAATATTAATTGAAAAATGTAAATAAATTAGAATTTATCAGCATCAGTGGCTTAACTACTGTTTGCAATGTAGCATTATGTTTTGAAATTATAGAAAACAATTCAAAGAAATAAAGAAATGATACCAACTTACAACAAGGTGAGTGTCCTTATTAGTTGCAGCCTTCTCTTTCTTCCTCGAGATTAAAATGTCGTCCGTTTTCATCTTCACTCAATAATACAATTTTAACCCCCGTTTCAAATACTACACAATTTACAAAGACAAAATAAATGATGAAGAGACTGCTAAACGTGTTGAGGAACTATTTTCTGCGACTGCTTAGCTAAACGAAGTCTCTCGTATGAAATATTTATGTAATGGAGGTCCGCAGTGCTCAGGAATTCTTGGAAAACTCGTGGAATTTCTATTATTATAAAAGTTGTTCAGGAGCCTGCCTGGAAAATTCCCCGGAAATTCTCTCCTTTACGTCCACTCGTGGAATTTCGTAGATGTACATGCTGGATCGAAAAAAGAACCAAATTAAGCAAAGTGATAACTAAAGATTTCAAGCATTTAAATCAAATTTGATGCCGCACGACACACCAGCCGCAACCCGAAGGCTCGCTTTTGCTTTTTGCCCAGATTTCACGAAAGATGTCAACAGATTTACACAAACAGATGTCAAATTTAGTATTGAACATCGAATTTATTATTCGAAGCCAAGTTTCCTGGACACACAAACAAGTTATGTATTTGTATCCTACTGATTCATAAACAAGAGAATTGAGTAGGAGTCGGAACATAAAATATCACCTCTTTCGCCACGTTTGTGTTATTGACCGCGAAAATTTCACAGAAAAATTTGCTTCAAGAATCATCAGCTCTCTTTCCACTCTTTCTTTACCAAGGAAATGCTATATAGTAACTTTATAGCTTGATACGCTGAGCTTGAACTCGGAGTTCTTCATCGCTATCCGGTGGATGGGCATTGCCACAATCATCTACGCAATCAAACACAGAGCATGTGATCTGGTGGACAGTGTTATTCGACCTTTGAAGAATCGTGGTCCGTGCAGGTAATTAGTCGATTGATTGTTGTTGAATTTTAATGATGCAATGAGTCCCTCCATTGAAATGTTAGGAAATTAAGGACAATTTTCCAGGTAAACTTTTCTGGCATTTTACATTCAAGTATGGTGGCTATTTGAATCGTCACAACGTTACTTAGTTCCGTTTTCATTGTCACAAAACAAAGTAGTGAAAGTTTAAAATATTGAGAATGGTAAGTATCCAGTATGGAGCGCATGCGCATGCGCATGACGTCATGGCATGCAGCATGTGATCTAGTGGACAGTGTTATTCGACCTTTGAAAAACCGGTACCATGCAGGTAATTAGTCGATTAATTGTTGATAAATTTTAATGGTACAATGAGTTCTTCTAATGAGATGTTCACAATGAAATGTTAGGGAATTAAAGACAATTTTCCCAGTAAAATTTTCTGGGATTTAAGATTCAAGTATGGTGGCTATTTGAATCGTTACAACGTTACTTAGTTCCGCTTTCATTCCGATTTTCAAAGTTGCGGAAGATTAAAAAATTGAGATAGGTGAGTACCCAGTATGGAGCCCATGCACATGACGTCATGGCATCCACATTAGTGTTCCAAAACAATGAAACGGCGGCCATGTTGGTGTACCCAACCAATCCTGTGGGAGTTCAACTCTTTTCTTATGTAAACACTATCTTTTGTTCCAATAAATTTGCATGGCTGCTGGACATGCTGGTACGGTGCATACTCTCTATTACATGTTACCAATGAATCTCCTTAAAGATCCATACAGTTCGGTTAAAATGAGGCCTAGATTACTTATAAAGATGTATGGAATCAGAATATCAAAAATTACATTATAATCCAAGTCCCTAGGTGGGAATTTTCGAAATAAATAGAAATTTAAAAGAGACGATTATCATATGAAAAAGTATACATCAAAATTTCCCCTTGAAAAAACCTACTTAACATGTAATTGCACGAATAAAAAATACAAAAGAGATTTTATATAATCTCTCATTTGAAAATGTCTTCTTATCGTAAGAATTGCGTACGCGCTTTTCTTTGCGTCGAAGTGGTGGTAACGATAGACAAAAGTTGGAATGAAAATGGTTGGCCACCATGATGGATCTTCGGTTTGCTCAATTATCTTTTTTCAAGCAAACAGCCCAGTTCTACTAATTGGTCAGATTGTTCCACAAGGATCATTTATCGAATATCTTCTGCATCTTTAGATGACGTAGACTGCACTACACAAAATAATTGCTGGAAGAGCATTTTGCCAGAGACGAAGAAGGCCCTTGAGAACAAGTTAGCTTTAGTTTGAATAGTGGTTTCAAGGGATTCTTTTTATTCCAAGTTTAAATGTTTCCTGTCGACTCTAAAACTGTGACGTCACATGTTATCATTTGCTGTTATGGAGCCTGTATAGGGCAAGCCCAGTAATGCAGAGTGCATTTTGCGTTAGCGTCGGATCCTTTACAGGAACATTTGTATTCGTTGAGAATCGACTTGACTACGTCCAAGTTAGCTTCCTCGCCCAATTCCGTTGTGCAGGTCGCAGAAATAACTTTCTCATCCTGTAGAGAAATTAAACGGAAACTGCTCAAGCTAGCAAATCTTCAACAATGTATGGCCAATTCCACGAATTAAGCTCTTTTTACATGAAAACAGGAAAAAAAAGTTATAGGATCCTAAAACGGTAATTTTGCTCAAATAACTCTAAGGAACCAAACTTAATTGATACCGACAAAATTTCGAAAACAGTTGCATCACCTTTGCGAGAGTACGAGTAATCAAACTTCAAGCCACTTCCTTTCGAAATCTCTGAATGACATACTCCCGTTATTATGAGAAATTTATAAACTCTACAGGGCTTTCTTTGTCGGCCAATACAGTGTCAGAAAGGACTAACCTAAAGGGGAATCTTTCTTTGCAATATTTGCCTCATTAGCATAGGCAATTCAGTTGCTGATCAAGCTTCAAAAATATCAGTTCTGTTCAGCTATTAATACAATTTGGGATAAATTGATCCGCCTCCAGCCAATCAGAAGCGAGCATTTACGGAAGTAGTAATTAACGAATTAACTGATCAATAGAAGCGGTTTTCAGTTGAGTGTCGAAAGTAGTTAGGCAATTGTTTTGGTTTGGGTTTTGGTTTTGCTAGGTTTGAGATTGGCTGAGTTTTCTAATTGGAAAGTAACTGGTTTGGTTTCGGTTTACGACACTTAATTGAAAACCGCAGTAAATTAGTCAGTTAGTTTAGCACAGCTTTACTTACCACAGTGTCTTTAACGGAAGCAGTTTGTGCCTTGGGGACTTCGACTACCTCGCACCAGCTGAAGTTTCCAATGCCACTCGGGCCCGGAACTCCCGGGGGTCCCGGGGGTCCGGTACTCCCGTCATCTCCATTGATCCCCTGGGGCCCTTTATCTCCCCGAGGACCTTTAGAACCATTAGCTCCTGGATAGCCGTCGTTCCCAGGGCTTCCTTTGTTCCCCTTTTCCCCGGGAGGTCCCTTAGCTCCCTGTGGCCCTTCCAGCCCGATCGGTCCAGCATCTCCTTTAGGTCCCTTTGAGCCGTTTATTCCTCGCTCGCCGACAGGACCAGGCAAAGAGATTTTTAAATTCACCTGAAAAGAAACGAAGGCGAAACGCTTGAAACTGTTTAGGATGTAACGATGCTCGTAATTTCGCGCTATTGTTCACCGTCACGCGTTTTGCATGTGACATTGACCGATCCGTAAACATTTGGATTTGAGTTTCATCTTGGGTCATTATCATGTACATGTACATTATCATATCTTGCTAGTTGCTTTTTGTTTTTTGCATCTCTGCTGCACCGTGCTGACGAGACCCAACCATGTCCACGGTTGCAATCCTTGCCTTTAAGTTTGGACTCTATCATGCATATGTCGTTGACGCGTTAAGTTCTCTACGTAGCAAGCAGCCTTGCTTCATAGTTACATGCTCGTAATTTACATCTAAGCAGTGAGATCATGTACCTTTCAATTTGAAAATATAGTTGAACCTCCGCCGACAGACACCTCCTGTTTGCGGAAACCATTCGTACGCAGACTAAATAGGGGACACCGTCTTCAAACGAACACGGTGTCCCCTATTTTTTCGCCTTTTGGCAATAGTTTATCTTACGTTAATGCCTGGCAAGTTTTAAAGACGTTCTGTACTAAGCAACATTTTGGCCGCGATCGTCTTTAAGTATCTAGCCAAAGAGCACGACAAGAGAATGCCGATGTCCTCAGTAATTTACAATACTATGCACACTGATAGTGCAAAGGTTTACATCCCACCTGTTCAGATATAGTGCTATTCATAGCATCTATCGCCTTGTCAAGTTCGTCATTGAATTGTTCTGAGGTTCGTTTCATCTCTGTCAACTGTAAAAATGAGGAAACGATGGTTAACGTTAACAGTTTTCAAGAGGATATTTTCCATGAAAATATGACGTCGGTGCAGTAGTGTCCTTGTTTTTATCCTAAGGACGGTGCCTACTTTTGTTAGTGCGCACACTTCCTGCGTATCACGCAAGGCATGGTTTAAGTGCAACGCGCGCGCTGGGGTTGACCTTGACGCAATCAACTACGCTACCGAGTACACGACTAAAATGAAAGCTTTGGGTCAGCCATGACAATACCGACAAAAACATTCAGGTACATTGCATCTGCAAACTGGTTTAAGAGTCCGTTCGACATTGCAAGTGTATGTAAGTTTGTCTTTTTTCCTTGGTACCAAAAGGCTCATGTGTATACCAAGAAAATACAAGTTTTAAGTGGAATAATCATGAGAAAATGTCGCATAACTATTTTATACCATGCCATAGAAAATAAAGTGGCCAACGTAGTCAGTGTAGTGCACGACAGAAACGTTGGGACTGTAATACCTTCCCCCACCTCGTGGGAGGAAGATTGTGTGACGACCCTAAAGAGCGTTTACGTAAGAGGTTAGTTTACAGGCAACATTTAAAGGTTTGACTAATTCAAGCTTTGTTGTGTGCAACTTCCAGGGAAAGAAAATACTTGGTGCCACGTGTTCCACTAACCGTGCAGCGGAGTACAACTTGGAGACAGGGCAAATTCCGCCCGAGGACCCAGATGCAGGGAAAGATTTCTACCGTTGCACTTGCAAAGGACGTTCTACACTGTTCACGGTTGGTGACCCTCTGGAATGCATTGTTCATTACTGGGAGTGTCCACTGACAACGTAAACTTTCACAGAAATTTCGTCATCTTGACGGAACCGTTCAGATAATTTGAAGTTGAAATTTACAGTGATGCAGTACTGTTGCTTTTAGTGGAGTTGAATCAATGTACAGTATTATAATGGTCCTATGATCTCCGCAGGTATTTAGTCTGTCACCTAATGCCTGTAAGGTACGGTGTAGGCCTCGTCGCCAGCGTTCTGCCTGTCGACAAAGACGCATGGATGACAGATCAGTTGCGTTTTGAATAACGAAGCGCGCGAAGTCTAAAACAAGAATGCAAATTATTGAAACGCCGCGAGAGTCAGACAACATTAGCGTGTTCTGGGAGAAATAGGAGGAAAATCAACGCCAAATTTTCGTTTTAAAAATTGTTTTAGCAACACTTGCTTACGCGCTTGAAAAAGCGTCAAATTATCCACCATTCCGTTTCGTTTGTCTCAGTTTACCTGAGGTATTACGTCACTCGCGCGCTTCGCTATTGTAAATCTTCTCGCGAGGGAAGTTTCTAAATAAAGCTGTATCGCTTAGGAATTAAAGAAAGTCTGCTCAAGGACTGTAGAGAATGGCATGTAAGAAAATGCCTTGTTCTGCAGAGCAGAACTGCTTCTAATATTTAATACACATGTAGGAGCCATTTCACAGGACTCATTACAAATAAGTAATAAGCTTTAAGATTGGAAGTTCATTGTTTGCATTCTGCCCTGATTCATCTGTCTCAATCTTACCCATATTGTTGTCGTTGTCGTTGTCGTTGTCGTTAACTACATGTATACTCATAGTAAACTATTGCAAAATGTCCTTCATTTTGAAGGTGAGGTTGAAAATCTCAAAGAGAATTCTTTGATATATCTTGGCATGGCTCTTTTAAAGAAAAGTATGCTTAAGTCAAGAAAGATTACACGATATACGTTGTTGTTTTTCATGGAGGTGAAAGGCATTACTCGTCGCATAAAACAGCGTTATTTCAATTTCACTAGTGGAAATACTGTTTTTAAGTTGTATGCAGGCATACATCTTTGTACAAACAATTTAAAACAAGTTTTAGGTTTTACCGAATTTTTCTATTTTACGCTGTGTATCAGTGATAGGTACTATTCTTTAGTGGTATTGTTTTCAGTGTTGTTCATAGCATGCTGTGGTGGTATTAACCTTCTTTTAGCGAAACCTCGATAGATATGAGCTTTTCCGCCTTTCGCCGCCTGAGTGCTGAGAATGAAATTGAGAAATGTGGTTCATGGCATTCATAGAAAACTATATGCGTTCACAAAAAAGCTCAAAACTAGTCTCAAATGAGACGATATATTCTACGTTAAACTCAGCAATTTGAAATAATCCGAACACTGATGTAAGCTTGTTTTACAATTGCTATCCAGTTACATGTAAACCAATTCTTATGTATAAAAAAATACATGCATGTTCATTAAGATGTACTGAGACACCTTGCTTTCCATGGGTACGGACTGGCTTTCAACAAAGTCTGCTTGGCGACTATTAATTGTCCACAGAATTTAACGTATGGTAATCTCGTGGAAAAGATTTGTTACAACGAGAAAGTTTCAATGGTGTCTTAGCCACACGATTCAGGAAAGCAAGACTGTTTTAATTGTATCTAAGAAGTACATGCTTTGACCTGGACTATATCAATATTTCTTATCTAAAAAAGTTGTATTTTATCAGGTTTTCTTTCCTTATACATAGTTTTTAACTTTAATTTAGCTGCAGTGACAAAGCCAATGCCAGCTTCATATCTGATTGGAGCTTGCGGATAAAGTCACCGCTATTAATATTAATTGAAAAATGTAAATAAATTAGAATTTATCAGCATCAGTGGCTTAACTACTGTTTGCAATGTAGCATTATGTTTTGAAATTATAGAAAACAATTCAAAGAAATAAAGAAATGATACCAACTTACAACAAGGTGAGTGTCCTTATTAGTTGCAGCCTTCTCTTTCTTCCTCGAGATTAAAATGTCGTCCGTTTTCATCTTCACTCAATAATACAATTTTAACCCCCGTTTCAAATACTACACAATTTACAAAGACAAAATAAATGATGAAGAGACTGCTAAACGTGTTGAGGAACTATTTTCTGCGACTGCTTAGCTAAACGAAGTCTCTCGTATGAAATATTTATGTAATGGAGGTCCGCAGTGCTCAGGAATTCTTGGAAAACTCGTGGAATTTCTATTATTATAAAAGTTGTTCAGGAGCCTGCCTGGAAAATTCCCCGGAAATTCTCTCCTTTACGTCCACTCGTGGAATTTCGTAGATGTACATGCTGGATCGAAAAAAGAACCAAATTAAGCAAAGTGATAACTAAAGATTTCAAGCATTTAAATCAAATTTGATGCCGCACGACACACCAGCCGCAACCCGAAGGCTCGCTTTTGCTTTTTGCCCAGATTTCACGAAAGATGTCAACAGATTTACACAAACAGATGTCAAATTTAGTATTGAACATCGAATTTATTATTCGAAGCCAAGTTTCCTGGACACACAAACAAGTTATGTATTTGTATCCTACTGATTCATAAACAAGAGAATTGAGTAGGAGTCGGAACATAAAATATCACCTCTTTCGCCACGTTTGTGTTATTGACCGCGAAAATTTCACAGAAAAATTTGCTTCAAGAATCATCAGCTCTCTTTCCACTCTTTCTTTACCAAGGAAATGCTATATAGTAACTTTATAGCTTGATACGCTGAGCTTGAACTCGGAGTTCTTCATCGCTATCCGGTGGATGGGCATTGCCACAATCATCTACGCAATCAAACACAGAGCATGTGATCTGGTGGACAGTGTTATTCGACCTTTGAAGAATCGTGGTCCGTGCAGGTAATTAGTCGATTGATTGTTGTTGAATTTTAATGATGCAATGAGTCCCTCCATTGAAATGTTAGGAAATTAAGGACAATTTTCCAGGTAAACTTTTCTGGCATTTTACATTCAAGTATGGTGGCTATTTGAATCGTCACAACGTTACTTAGTTCCGTTTTCATTGTCACAAAACAAAGTAGTGAAAGTTTAAAATATTGAGAATGGTAAGTATCCAGTATGGAGCGCATGCGCATGCGCATGACGTCATGGCATGCAGCATGTGATCTAGTGGACAGTGTTATTCGACCTTTGAAAAACCGGTACCATGCAGGTAATTAGTCGATTAATTGTTGATAAATTTTAATGGTACAATGAGTTCTTCTAATGAGATGTTCACAATGAAATGTTAGGGAATTAAAGACAATTTTCCCAGTAAAATTTTCTGGGATTTAAGATTCAAGTATGGTGGCTATTTGAATCGTTACAACGTTACTTAGTTCCGCTTTCATTCCGATTTTCAAAGTTGCGGAAGATTAAAAAATTGAGATAGGTGAGTACCCAGTATGGAGCCCATGCACATGACGTCATGGCATCCACATTAGTGTTCCAAAACAATGAAACGGCGGCCATGTTGGTGTACCCAACCAATCCTGTGGGAGTTCAACTCTTTTCTTATGTAAACACTATCTTTTGTTCCAATAAATTTGCATGGCTGCTGGACATGCTGGTACGGTGCATACTCTCTATTACATGTTACCAATGAATCTCCTTAAAGATCCATACAGTTCGGTTAAAATGAGGCCTAGATTACTTATAAAGATGTATGGAATCAGAATATCAAAAATTACATTATAATCCAAGTCCCTAGGTGGGAATTTTCGAAATAAATAGAAATTTAAAAGAGACGATTATCATATGAAAAAGTATACATCAAAATTTCCCCTTGAAAAAACCTACTTAACATGTAATTGCACGAATAAAAAATACAAAAGAGATTTTATATAATCTCTCATTTGAAAATGTCTTCTTATCGTAAGAATTGCGTACGCGCTTTTCTTTGCGTCGAAGTGGTGGTAACGATAGACAAAAGTTGGAATGAAAATGGTTGGCCACCATGATGGATCTTCGGTTTGCTCAATTATCTTTTTTCAAGCAAACAGCCCAGTTCTACTAATTGGTCAGATTGTTCCACAAGGATCATTTATCGAATATCTTCTGCATCTTTAGATGACGTAGACTGCACTACACAAAATAATTGCTGGAAGAGCATTTTGCCAGAGACGAAGAAGGCCCTTGAGAACAAGTTAGCTTTAGTTTGAATAGTGGTTTCAAGGGATTCTTTTTATTCCAAGTTTAAATGTTTCCTGTCGACTCTAAAACTGTGACGTCACATGTTATCATTTGCTGTTATGGAGCCTGTATAGGGCAAGCCCAGTAATGCAGAGTGCATTTTGCGTTAGCGTCGGATCCTTTACAGGAACATTTGTATTCGTTGAGAATCGACTTGACTACGTCCAAGTTAGCTTCCTCGCCCAATTCCGTTGTGCAGGTCGCAGAAATAACTTTCTCATCCTGTAGAGAAATTAAACGGAAACTGCTCAAGCTAGCAAATCTTCAACAATGTATGGCCAATTCCACGAATTAAGCTCTTTTTACATGAAAACAGGAAAAAAAAGTTATAGGATCCTAAAACGGTAATTTTGCTCAAATAACTCTAAGGAACCAAACTTAATTGATACCGACAAAATTTCGAAAACAGTTGCATCACCTTTGCGAGAGTACGAGTAATCAAACTTCAAGCCACTTCCTTTCGAAATCTCTGAATGACATACTCCCGTTATTATGAGAAATTTATAAACTCTACAGGGCTTTCTTTGTCGGCCAATACAGTGTCAGAAAGGACTAACCTAAAGGGGAATCTTTCTTTGCAATATTTGCCTCATTAGCATAGGCAATTCAGTTGCTGATCAAGCTTCAAAAATATCAGTTCTGTTCAGCTATTAATACAATTTGGGATAAATTGATCCGCCTCCAGCCAATCAGAAGCGAGCATTTACGGAAGTAGTAATTAACGAATTAACTGATCAATAGAAGCGGTTTTCAGTTGAGTGTCGAAAGTAGTTAGGCAATTGTTTTGGTTTGGGTTTTGGTTTTGCTAGGTTTGAGATTGGCTGAGTTTTCTAATTGGAAAGTAACTGGTTTGGTTTCGGTTTACGACACTTAATTGAAAACCGCAGTAAATTAGTCAGTTAGTTTAGCACAGCTTTACTTACCACAGTGTCTTTAACGGAAGCAGTTTGTGCCTTGGGGACTTCGACTACCTCGCACCAGCTGAAGTTTCCAATGCCACTCGGGCCCGGAACTCCCGGGGGTCCCGGGGGTCCGGTACTCCCGTCATCTCCATTGATCCCCTGGGGCCCTTTATCTCCCCGAGGACCTTTAGAACCATTAGCTCCTGGATAGCCGTCGTTCCCAGGGCTTCCTTTGTTCCCCTTTTCCCCGGGAGGTCCCTTAGCTCCCTGTGGCCCTTCCAGCCCGATCGGTCCAGCATCTCCTTTAGGTCCCTTTGAGCCGTTTATTCCTCGCTCGCCGACAGGACCAGGCAAAGAGATTTTTAAATTCACCTGAAAAGAAACGAAGGCGAAACGCTTGAAACTGTTTAGGATGTAACGATGCTCGTAATTTCGCGCTATTGTTCACCGTCACGCGTTTTGCATGTGACATTGACCGATCCGTAAACATTTGGATTTGAGTTTCATCTTGGGTCATTATCATGTACATGTACATTATCATATCTTGCTAGTTGCTTTTTGTTTTTTGCATCTCTGCTGCACCGTGCTGACGAGACCCAACCATGTCCACGGTTGCAATCCTTGCCTTTAAGTTTGGACTCTATCATGCATATGTCGTTGACGCGTTAAGTTCTCTACGTAGCAAGCAGCCTTGCTTCATAGTTACATGCTCGTAATTTACATCTAAGCAGTGAGATCATGTACCTTTCAATTTGAAAATATAGTTGAACCTCCGCCGACAGACACCTCCTGTTTGCGGAAACCATTCGTACGCAGACTAAATAGGGGACACCGTCTTCAAACGAACACGGTGTCCCCTATTTTTTCGCCTTTTGGCAATAGTTTATCTTACGTTAATGCCTGGCAAGTTTTAAAGACGTTCTGTACTAAGCAACATTTTGGCCGCGATCGTCTTTAAGTATCTAGCCAAAGAGCACGACAAGAGAATGCCGATGTCCTCAGTAATTTACAATACTATGCACACTGATAGTGCAAAGGTTTACATCCCACCTGTTCAGATATAGTGCTATTCATAGCATCTATCGCCTTGTCAAGTTCGTCATTGAATTGTTCTGAGGTTCGTTTCATCTCTGTCAACTGTAAAAATGAGGAAACGATGGTTAACGTTAACAGTTTTCAAGAGGATATTTTCCATGAAAATATGACGTCGGTGCAGTAGTGTCCTTGTTTTTATCCTAAGGACGGTGCCTACTTTTGTTAGTGCGCACACTTCCTGCGTATCACGCAAGGCATGGTTTAAGTGCAACGCGCGCGCTGGGGTTGACCTTGACGCAATCAACTACGCTACCGAGTACACGACTAAAATGAAAGCTCACGACAGAAACGTTGGGACTGTAATACCTTCCCCCACCTCGTGGGAGGAAGATTGTGTGACGACCCTAAAGAGCGTTTACGTAAGAGGTTAGTTTACAGGCAACATTTAAAGGTTTGACTAATTCAAGCTTTGTTGTGTGCAACTTCCAGGGAAAGAAAATACTTGGTGCCACGTGTTCCACTAACCGTGCAGCGGAGTACAACTTGGAGACAGGGCAAATTCCGCCCGAGGACCCAGATGCAGGGAAAGATTTCTACCGTTGCACTTGCAAAGGACGTTCTACACTGTTCACGGTTGGTGACCCTCTGGAATGCATTGTTCATTACTGGGAGTGTCCACTGACAACGTAAACTTTCACAGAAATTTCGTCATCTTGACGGAACCGTTCAGATAATTTGAAGTTGAAATTTACAGTGATGCAGTACTGTTGCTTTTAGTGGAGTTGAATCAATGTACAGTATTATAATGGTCCTATGATCTCCGCAGGTATTTAGTCTGTCACCTAATGCCTGTAAGGTACGGTGTAGGCCTCGTCGCCAGCGTTCTGCCTGTCGACAAAGACGCATGGATGACAGATCAGTTGCGTTTTGAATAACGAAGCGCGCGAAGTCTAAAACAAGAATGCAAATTATTGAAACGCCGCGAGAGTCAGACAACATTAGCGTGTTCTGGGAGAAATAGGAGGAAAATCAACGCCAAATTTTCGTTTTAAAAATTGTTTTAGCAACACTTGCTTACGCGCTTGAAAAAGCGTCAAATTATCCACCATTCCGTTTCGTTTGTCTCAGTTTACCTGAGGTATTACGTCACTCGCGCGCTTCGCTATTGTAAATCTTCTCGCGAGGGAAGTTTCTAAATAAAGCTGTATCGCTTAGGAATTAAAGAAAGTCTGCTCAAGGACTGTAGAGAATGGCATGTAAGAAAATGCCTTGTTCTGCAGAGCAGAACTGCTTCTAATATTTAATACACATGTAGGAGCCATTTCACAGGACTCATTACAAATAAGTAATAAGCTTTAAGATTGGAAGTTCATTGTTTGCATTCTGCCCTGATTCATCTGTCTCAATCTTACCCATATTGTTGTCGTTGTCGTTGTCGTTGTCGTTAACTACATGTATACTCATAGTAAACTATTGCAAAATGTCCTTCATTTTGAAGGTGAGGTTGAAAATCTCAAAGAGAATTCTTTGATATATCTTGGCATGGCTCTTTTAAAGAAAAGTATGCTTAAGTCAAGAAAGATTACACGATATACGTTGTTGTTTTTCATGGAGGTGAAAGGCATTACTCGTCGCATAAAACAGCGTTATTTCAATTTCACTAGTGGAAATACTGTTTTTAAGTTGTATGCAGGCATACATCTTTGTACAAACAATTTAAAACAAGTTTTAGGTTTTACCGAATTTTTCTATTTTACGCTGTGTATCAGTGATAGGTACTATTCTTTAGTGGTATTGTTTTCAGTGTTGTTCATAGCATGCTGTGGTGGTATTAACCTTCTTTTAGCGAAACCTCGATAGATATGAGCTTTTCCGCCTTTCGCCGCCTGAGTGCTGAGAATGAAATTGAGAAATGTGGTTCATGGCATTCATAGAAAACTATATGCGTTCACAAAAAAGCTCAAAACTAGTCTCAAATGAGACGATATATTCTACGTTAAACTCAGCAATTTGAAATAATCCGAACACTGATGTAAGCTTGTTTTACAATTGCTATCCAGTTACATGTAAACCAATTCTTATGTATAAAAAAATACATGCATGTTCATTAAGATGTACTGAGACACCTTGCTTTCCATGGGTACGGACTGGCTTTCAACAAAGTCTGCTTGGCGACTATTAATTGTCCACAGAATTTAACGTATGGTAATCTCGTGGAAAAGATTTGTTACAACGAGAAAGTTTCAATGGTGTCTTAGCCACACGATTCAGGAAAGCAAGACTGTTTTAATTGTATCTAAGAAGTACATGCTTTGACCTGGACTATATCAATATTTCTTATCTAAAAAAGTTGTATTTTATCAGGTTTTCTTTCCTTATACATAGTTTTTAACTTTAATTTAGCTGCAGTGACAAAGCCAATGCCAGCTTCATATCTGATTGGAGCTTGCGGATAAAGTCACCGCTATTAATATTAATTGAAAAATGTAAATAAATTAGAATTTATCAGCATCAGTGGCTTAACTACTGTTTGCAATGTAGCATTATGTTTTGAAATTATAGAAAACAATTCAAAGAAATAAAGAAATGATACCAACTTACAACAAGGTGAGTGTCCTTATTAGTTGCAGCCTTCTCTTTCTTCCTCGAGATTAAAATGTCGTCCGTTTTCATCTTCACTCAATAATACAATTTTAACCCCCGTTTCAAATACTACACAATTTACAAAGACAAAATAAATGATGAAGAGACTGCTAAACGTGTTGAGGAACTATTTTCTGCGACTGCTTAGCTAAACGAAGTCTCTCGTATGAAATATTTATGTAATGGAGGTCCGCAGTGCTCAGGAATTCTTGGAAAACTCGTGGAATTTCTATTATTATAAAAGTTGTTCAGGAGCCTGCCTGGAAAATTCCCCGGAAATTCTCTCCTTTACGTCCACTCGTGGAATTTCGTAGATGTACATGCTGGATCGAAAAAAGAACCAAATTAAGCAAAGTGATAACTAAAGATTTCAAGCATTTAAATCAAATTTGATGCCGCACGACACACCAGCCGCAACCCGAAGGCTCGCTTTTGCTTTTTGCCCAGATTTCACGAAAGATGTCAACAGATTTACACAAACAGATGTCAAATTTAGTATTGAACATCGAATTTATTATTCGAAGCCAAGTTTCCTGGACACACAAACAAGTTATGTATTTGTATCCTACTGATTCATAAACAAGAGAATTGAGTAGGAGTCGGAACATAAAATATCACCTCTTTCGCCACGTTTGTGTTATTGACCGCGAAAATTTCACAGAAAAATTTGCTTCAAGAATCATCAGCTCTCTTTCCACTCTTTCTTTACCAAGGAAATGCTATATAGTAACTTTATAGCTTGATACGCTGAGCTTGAACTCGGAGTTCTTCATCGCTATCCGGTGGATGGGCATTGCCACAATCATCTACGCAATCAAACACAGAGCATGTGATCTGGTGGACAGTGTTATTCGACCTTTGAAGAATCGTGGTCCGTGCAGGTAATTAGTCGATTGATTGTTGTTGAATTTTAATGATGCAATGAGTCCCTCCATTGAAATGTTAGGAAATTAAGGACAATTTTCCAGGTAAACTTTTCTGGCATTTTACATTCAAGTATGGTGGCTATTTGAATCGTCACAACGTTACTTAGTTCCGTTTTCATTGTCACAAAACAAAGTAGTGAAAGTTTAAAATATTGAGAATGGTAAGTATCCAGTATGGAGCGCATGCGCATGCGCATGACGTCATGGCATGCAGCATGTGATCTAGTGGACAGTGTTATTCGACCTTTGAAAAACCGGTACCATGCAGGTAATTAGTCGATTAATTGTTGATAAATTTTAATGGTACAATGAGTTCTTCTAATGAGATGTTCACAATGAAATGTTAGGGAATTAAAGACAATTTTCCCAGTAAAATTTTCTGGGATTTAAGATTCAAGTATGGTGGCTATTTGAATCGTTACAACGTTACTTAGTTCCGCTTTCATTCCGATTTTCAAAGTTGCGGAAGATTAAAAAATTGAGATAGGTGAGTACCCAGTATGGAGCCCATGCACATGACGTCATGGCATCCACATTAGTGTTCCAAAACAATGAAACGGCGGCCATGTTGGTGTACCCAACCAATCCTGTGGGAGTTCAACTCTTTTCTTATGTAAACACTATCTTTTGTTCCAATAAATTTGCATGGCTGCTGGACATGCTGGTACGGTGCATACTCTCTATTACATGTTACCAATGAATCTCCTTAAAGATCCATACAGTTCGGTTAAAATGAGGCCTAGATTACTTATAAAGATGTATGGAATCAGAATATCAAAAATTACATTATAATCCAAGTCCCTAGGTGGGAATTTTCGAAATAAATAGAAATTTAAAAGAGACGATTATCATATGAAAAAGTATACATCAAAATTTCCCCTTGAAAAAACCTACTTAACATGTAATTGCACGAATAAAAAATACAAAAGAGATTTTATATAATCTCTCATTTGAAAATGTCTTCTTATCGTAAGAATTGCGTACGCGCTTTTCTTTGCGTCGAAGTGGTGGTAACGATAGACAAAAGTTGGAATGAAAATGGTTGGCCACCATGATGGATCTTCGGTTTGCTCAATTATCTTTTTTCAAGCAAACAGCCCAGTTCTACTAATTGGTCAGATTGTTCCACAAGGATCATTTATCGAATATCTTCTGCATCTTTAGATGACGTAGACTGCACTACACAAAATAATTGCTGGAAGAGCATTTTGCCAGAGACGAAGAAGGCCCTTGAGAACAAGTTAGCTTTAGTTTGAATAGTGGTTTCAAGGGATTCTTTTTATTCCAAGTTTAAATGTTTCCTGTCGACTCTAAAACTGTGACGTCACATGTTATCATTTGCTGTTATGGAGCCTGTATAGGGCAAGCCCAGTAATGCAGAGTGCATTTTGCGTTAGCGTCGGATCCTTTACAGGAACATTTGTATTCGTTGAGAATCGACTTGACTACGTCCAAGTTAGCTTCCTCGCCCAATTCCGTTGTGCAGGTCGCAGAAATAACTTTCTCATCCTGTAGAGAAATTAAACGGAAACTGCTCAAGCTAGCAAATCTTCAACAATGTATGGCCAATTCCACGAATTAAGCTCTTTTTACATGAAAACAGGAAAAAAAAGTTATAGGATCCTAAAACGGTAATTTTGCTCAAATAACTCTAAGGAACCAAACTTAATTGATACCGACAAAATTTCGAAAACAGTTGCATCACCTTTGCGAGAGTACGAGTAATCAAACTTCAAGCCACTTCCTTTCGAAATCTCTGAATGACATACTCCCGTTATTATGAGAAATTTATAAACTCTACAGGGCTTTCTTTGTCGGCCAATACAGTGTCAGAAAGGACTAACCTAAAGGGGAATCTTTCTTTGCAATATTTGCCTCATTAGCATAGGCAATTCAGTTGCTGATCAAGCTTCAAAAATATCAGTTCTGTTCAGCTATTAATACAATTTGGGATAAATTGATCCGCCTCCAGCCAATCAGAAGCGAGCATTTACGGAAGTAGTAATTAACGAATTAACTGATCAATAGAAGCGGTTTTCAGTTGAGTGTCGAAAGTAGTTAGGCAATTGTTTTGGTTTGGGTTTTGGTTTTGCTAGGTTTGAGATTGGCTGAGTTTTCTAATTGGAAAGTAACTGGTTTGGTTTCGGTTTACGACACTTAATTGAAAACCGCAGTAAATTAGTCAGTTAGTTTAGCACAGCTTTACTTACCACAGTGTCTTTAACGGAAGCAGTTTGTGCCTTGGGGACTTCGACTACCTCGCACCAGCTGAAGTTTCCAATGCCACTCGGGCCCGGAACTCCCGGGGGTCCCGGGGGTCCGGTACTCCCGTCATCTCCATTGATCCCCTGGGGCCCTTTATCTCCCCGAGGACCTTTAGAACCATTAGCTCCTGGATAGCCGTCGTTCCCAGGGCTTCCTTTGTTCCCCTTTTCCCCGGGAGGTCCCTTAGCTCCCTGTGGCCCTTCCAGCCCGATCGGTCCAGCATCTCCTTTAGGTCCCTTTGAGCCGTTTATTCCTCGCTCGCCGACAGGACCAGGCAAAGAGATTTTTAAATTCACCTGAAAAGAAACGAAGGCGAAACGCTTGAAACTGTTTAGGATGTAACGATGCTCGTAATTTCGCGCTATTGTTCACCGTCACGCGTTTTGCATGTGACATTGACCGATCCGTAAACATTTGGATTTGAGTTTCATCTTGGGTCATTATCATGTACATGTACATTATCATATCTTGCTAGTTGCTTTTTGTTTTTTGCATCTCTGCTGCACCGTGCTGACGAGACCCAACCATGTCCACGGTTGCAATCCTTGCCTTTAAGTTTGGACTCTATCATGCATATGTCGTTGACGCGTTAAGTTCTCTACGTAGCAAGCAGCCTTGCTTCATAGTTACATGCTCGTAATTTACATCTAAGCAGTGAGATCATGTACCTTTCAATTTGAAAATATAGTTGAACCTCCGCCGACAGACACCTCCTGTTTGCGGAAACCATTCGTACGCAGACTAAATAGGGGACACCGTCTTCAAACGAACACGGTGTCCCCTATTTTTTCGCCTTTTGGCAATAGTTTATCTTACGTTAATGCCTGGCAAGTTTTAAAGACGTTCTGTACTAAGCAACATTTTGGCCGCGATCGTCTTTAAGTATCTAGCCAAAGAGCACGACAAGAGAATGCCGATGTCCTCAGTAATTTACAATACTATGCACACTGATAGTGCAAAGGTTTACATCCCACCTGTTCAGATATAGTGCTATTCATAGCATCTATCGCCTTGTCAAGTTCGTCATTGAATTGTTCTGAGGTTCGTTTCATCTCTGTCAACTGTAAAAATGAGGAAACGATGGTTAACGTTAACAGTTTTCAAGAGGATATTTTCCATGAAAATATGACGTCGGTGCAGTAGTGTCCTTGTTTTTATCCTAAGGACGGTGCCTACTTTTGTTAGTGCGCACACTTCCTGCGTATCACGCAAGGCATGGTTTAAGTGCAACGCGCGCGCTGGGGTTGACCTTGACGCAATCAACTACGCTACCGAGTACACGACTAAAATGAAAGCAAAATTTTCCTACTGTGACCAAATCAAGTTTAATGAACCTGTACTTAAACCAGGAACACCAGAATAGCAGCATATCGCTAACCAGTAACTGTTAATGTCTTCCAGCTGAAAAACTAGCTGTTATCTGTCGAAAATTATACTGAAATCCAACTGTAAACATATACCTGCAGATGGCGTAGTGCGCGCGCAAAACACATTCGCGATACGCAAATGTTTTACTTACTGGGAAGGTGACAGGAAAAAATGTAACGGGCGCCGAAAAAGTTTTAAAAAAAGAACAATAACTTAAAAAAACGCGTGGTTACCCCTACTTTTTATGTTATGAAATGGAAGTGGCAAGCTTATTCAGCGCGTGATTAGTTTCCGGTTGTGAGCAAAATCTATTTAGACTGTATTTTAGCTGAACCAGAGGAAGGCTGTCAGAGACGCTAGAAGCGCTGATGCGACGATTTTGTTATTAAAAACATATCAAAAATGGTTTTTATGTAACCATTTACCATTAAGTTTTAAGATCTTTATAAATATGTTTGCTTTTCTGTATGTAAAGGCGAATTCTAAGAAAATCTGTGAAGAGATATCCTTTCCTTCTTTTTTCAGAAAAATGCTGATGTCAGCATTTTTGTTGAGATTCAAGGCTAATTATCTCGAAAAAAAGTGTGGCTACCCCAGTTTTTCTTTGTGGATTCCAATAGCCCTTGTAAAGATCTATTTTTTCTGCGTGGTCCTAATCTGGCGCAAAAACTTTTGTATTTAGTAGGCACTGTCCTTAAATAATCCCGGTCGGCTGAATTACTGACTGACAGTGACCGACAGAATGACGGACGGACGGACAGACGGGTACACGGACAGATTGACTGACTTAGTTGACTGACTGACTAGCAGACAGACAAAAAACAAAAAACAAACAGACAGAAAGACAGAGACAGACAGAAAGGCAGAAAGACAGACGGACAGACCGACAGACCGACAGACCGACCGACCGACCGACCGACCGACTGACTGACTCACTGACTAACCAACTGACTGACTGACTGACTAACCGACTGACTGACTAACTAACCGACAGACTGACTGACTAACTGACTGGCTGGCTGACTGACTGGCTGGCTGGCTAGCTGGCTGGCTGGCTGGCTAACCTGAACTGACCTCAACTGAGTATTTTGTGAATGCTTGAGTAATCGGAGTTATATATATATATATATCACAAGATTAGTTATTTATAATAAAATTTAACTTGATCGTTGTCTTTCATATCCTTACCTCGTTTGTCAACGTTTCGTTCAAAGCCTGGAGCTGAGTGAAGATAGGTCCGTGATCGGGATTAAACTGTTGTACAGTATTATTGACCTACAATTAAGTAACAACATTAGTCATTTGACGAAGACCAAACACTTTGAGTAGGTTACATCCACTTTGTTAGAGAAAACAGCCACACACCAATTCGGTGGCTTAATAGCAAATGAAAAAAAAAAAAAAAAAAAAAAAAAAGGTTGAAAATGATCCATAACTTTCAAAACAAAACTGTGCACCAATCAATATAATCATTTTGTGGACGAAACCCTGGTCGTGAACATTCAAATAATAGCGTTTTTAAAACACTACTTTGTTCCGATCATTTCCTTGTCACATTTGGAATTATTTTTGTACGTTTATTTATCATGATGTACAAAGTGGTTCTAACGTTTTAGACTGTGGATAAAACCCCAGTGTATGACCAATCAAATGAAAGCTATTGAGCAGTACTTTCGTTTTTTGGAGGTGCTTTATTAAACGGTCGGAGTGGACGCTAAAGGATCAAGGAAGGCGGGGTAAGGGGCCCTCCTAGATCTGCCACTATACACTTTATTACCAAGAGAGTATGGTAATCTCTTGTTATTACTGATTTAAGGGCATCGAATCCGGGCTCCGAGGATTCCCTTGATACAACGAATATAATCCTACTGATGGCATCCTTACATGGTCGACAATCGCGTAGAACCCGTCTGAAAATTGATTGACAGCATCTCTTGTGGAGTTGAATTCTCTCTTGGCCGCCATGAGGGCGTCTTTGTTTCTTCCTGAATCTTGTAATATTGATTCCTGAAAAACAAACACAAAGGAAAATACTATGCTAGGACTATGTCTGGCTAGGGAATTCCAACTGCATTAAAAATGCCACAGCAACAAGTGATATACACGTGATGCACACATGCGTACACGTGATGAACACATGTGTACACGTGATGTACATATGCGTACATCAGCGGGCGCGCGCGGATGGGCAAAATTGGAGAAGATTAAACGGATTGCATCATGGTTAACTTTAAAAACAGCGGCCAGGCTTTTTTAAGCAGCTTTAAAATTTGTATCTTGCAGATAAAAAAAATTGTAAGGCTGCCAATTTGAAGTTTTGAAATAATAGTTGAGAAAAAAAAACCGAATAGAATCACTCGAGATTCTTTGACCTAGCCCCTTTAACAAATCAAGGACACGGTATTGAAGCATTCCCTTTCAATTTCAAGAGGATGCTGAATAGAGGCTCTTGGCTTAATATTTCTCCAAACGACTCAGTTATTAATAATCACTGAATGCCGGCAAAATGTAAAGTCTAATAAAGCAATCTTACCGCTTCTTCTCGAAGGGAAGAGATGTTAGCTTGAAGCTCCTCCAAAATGTCGTAAAATGGCGATAAGTTCATCGCAAATGCATTTGACTGCTGATTTGACCTGTTCTTTGCTGTCTGCGTCGTTTGTTGGCTGTTAGGCGATGTACCTTAATAATTCAAATAATGTGATCGTCACTAATTGCAAATCAAATAAACGGTATTACTCATTTTCCTGCTTATCATCGCTATGGCTTGGCACCGCGTTGAAAATTAAATCTAAGGTCGTCCTTCCAAGCTAGGTCTTTCTATCTTGTTGGATTGTCAACAGGTGCTTAAAGATAGCGAGTATAAGGTGACCTTCTATTAGCACAATACACACAAAAAACAAAAATAAAAACAAACAAAAATAATCAAAATAAAATGGCAAAACCGATCGAGCAAGGCACTCTCTCCTCCACTCAAAGTTCGGCAATGAGGCGCTTAGTAGCTATATATGACCACGTGACCTTTTTTTTTCTTTTTTTGCTAACACACTTTCAGACCATTGAAAGTACATGCATGTAGCTTTGGGTTCTTTGAGAGCCAGAGCTCTGAACTAGATCAAATGATGCTTTTACAAAAATTGTCCCACCTGTTTAACTGAACATTGTAGTAAATGTATTGGTTTATATATTTGGGCACGAAAATCCTGATTTTAACTCACAAAATCTAGCCATTTGGCGCTTGCCAACATTCCCGATAATTCTTCCATTCTATTCTAGTAAAAAAAACATGCATATTTCTACATGCTCTTGTTGGTCTTTGTTTATCGCGTAGCCAAGAGTTGCAATGGCTGAATGCCATGCACGGCTGGTAAGCAGTGTGCCAGAACATTCCATCCATGACGTCATTTACTAACAAGCCTTCGCTTCGCGTCACTGCACTGATTTGCGCTATAGTGTGTAAAACCAGGAAATTTTGAGCGTGCATTATCTAAATAGATTGAAATGTGGCACAACGAACAACTGTTTAGGTAAAATATATGTTCCAGTAACAGCGAAGTTTCGCATAAGAATCTCAATGTAAAAGGATGAGGTGGATAAATTGGGTGGAAGAGCAGAGTCGAACCCTCCCCTTATGGACTCCTCCACAATATGGACACCTCTGCAGATTAATATAACATTCAACTCACTTACTCCCAGAGAAACCAATGTCAATATGCCAGCTACTCCTGTAATACGGACACCTTCATAATTTGGACACTTAGCTCTACCTCATTGGCTTCCGTAGTTAAGATGTTCGACTCAGTAGAGTGGGCCCCTATAAGCATCATCTCCTTGCCTTGAATTTGTTAGAAAATGGACAGAAAATTGTGCAGTGTAGCCACTGCTGTTAGACTTAATTTTCTGCCTCATTCACCTCTCGTTCGTCAATCTGACGCTTGGTAACTTTCACTGAGTCATTGACAGAAAGCTAGACGTAGTTATGGGGAAGTTCGGCTAAATAACTGAAGTCAAAAATTTCATAGCTGACAGCTGTAAAAGAATAATGCAAGGTGTTTTAGTCTTGCCCAGAGACATTATAGTACTGCGATTGTATGAACCCAAAGAAGTAAATTGAATTTTGCTTCAATGTTTTTAATTTGCAAATTCTGGGAAACTTCCTCATGCCTGTAAAATGTTTTGTACTTTGTGTCTGAATGCGGTTGGGATAAAAAAAATCTTAAAGCCAACTTACCTGTCGTCGAAATCTTCTCAGTTTGGCTGCGATCCGTAAAATTTATACGAGCTTTACTATCTGGGCTGGTCAACGATTGCAGAAGTTTTATACTTATTGGGATAATACCGAATCTGCTCTGGAAATAGAACAGTTCCCACTAAGCTAAGCATGTAGTAACGGACCGACTAGAAAACAAAACTCGCTATGAAGCGTTTAAAATGATATTTCCGCCCGGTGGATTAGAATATAATTATAGTTCGGAAAAGTTTATGATAAAGCACTTCAATTGTTTAGAACGTCTGCGTTTATCGGCAGCATCAACTGCGTTTAGTAAACCTAAAGATAAGTTTTGATCGGCAAACCAAGATTAACTGGACCTTATATACGCAGCATGAAAGATTGGCGTTCCAGGCTTCTTAATATGGTTCAACATCATGCAACAGCAACCTTACCTGTGTTTCTACAAGTGCAGTGATCAGGTCCCAATATTCCAAGAGTCATAAGAATGATAATAGTTAAGGAGCACACCGAGAGAAATAAAACTAGAAACTGGAGCAAACGATGAATGCACAAACCACTGCAACATTGCGTGTTTGGGAAGTGACTTGGGTTCGGTTTGACGGATCTGTTGTCTTTGCGGCGCTTTTCTTTCCTTTTTGCAGGTTTCTGTCGTTCGTTCTTCTTTCGAACCCCTTGTTTAATTTTCGCTGTTTCCCGGAGGGTAACATAGGAAGAATCAGAGTCAAGGCGAGGTTTGTTATTGGACGCCATATACAGTTTCGGTTCACGGTCGCCTTCGGGTGTTACAGAGAGATCAGCCATTGCGCTTGCGAGCACTGATAACTTGGATGAACCCAAGATTCGGCGATCATCGGCGGACAGTCGGCGACTAGAAATATTACCGTTGATTCATTCTCAGGTTCGTGCTGTAAGTCTGTCTTGTAAGGAAACCGAAATATTTATCCCATCCACGTGGTAATAATATTGTGCTTAATGACAAGTGATGTATAGTATGCAAGTGGACTAATAATGATGCAGAACCCGCCAAACGACTGACTAGTTATTGGCTAATAATGTTACAAGTATGCGAAACATGAAATTGGCCCCAGGGCTTTCGTTTGGAGGTATTGTTGACATCTTGCACCGAACTGAAGAGAGATATTTAATTTTGCAAATTTCTAATAAATCGGCGGAAATAGAAAGTAAAACTGTTGACATACTTCGTTGTTCTTGGCATGTGACAAACCTT